CAATTGTATCCTCTCCCCCTGTTATTTCCCTTATCATTGTTACTGGTAGCAGTAGTGGTTTGGATTATACCTTAGTTACCGGAGTGCTGTTATCTCAACCCGTGGGAGTTACATTCCTCCGATTCTCCTCCCCATCCCTCTGGGAGTGGGGGGAGAAAGAGAAGGGGGAGTGAATGAGTGGCTGTGTGTTTCTGGGTTACCAGCTGGGCTTGAACCACAACAGTTTCAAATGTCAGCTGCAACACAGGCACACATTTAAAAGCGTTGATAAGCCAGGCCATTATTCTTAAACAGAGCTTTAGCAACAAATAGCTTTCTGAAAATTTATCTATGTAGTTACTCTATTGGTTTATCTTTATATCAGATCCTAACCTGCAGTGGTATCAACCAATGCCTCCCACCTCAGCTGGGACACTGTTTCCAATCTTTAAAAGCAAATACTGCATTGTACTCAGTGCTGCACAAATTAAAGTATATTCATATTTAAGTAAATGGGCAAGTATTGCCATATTATTATGCAGATATACAGCATTGAGAATGACAGCTTCAAGCTTGTTTGCGCTGTCTAGGAATTATGATGTTAGTATTAACCTGCCTGCGAAGCTATATTAATATGTGTAGAACAACAGCTGAGTACAGCTAGCCAGAAGCAGAGCATTCCTCCCTCATTTCTTGTGAATGTGCAGAAGCACAGTGGGGAAAAAAAAATAAATCACAAAATAAGCTAAAGGTATTTGAAAATCTGAAGCCTGCACCTCAAAATAAAATCCATTTTGCTTATAAACTAACATATTTTCTGAAAGTACCTGACTTTCCATACTTATTCTTAGATATTAACATCAGGAAAGAAATCAGCAATTCTTTAAGTATTTTTAAATGGTTCAAAGCACTTTTCGAATTAATGCATCTATTACCATGAATACATCTTACACTTGTGAAGGCTTAATACTCTTTGTATAATACTTCTATTGCTATTTTCAATCCACTCATTTGAAGGCAAAATCAACTGTGAAACCCATTAAAATTCTCTCAAGGTTCCCTTTCACAATCTTACCCAAACACAGAAAGCATCCTATTTGTGGTACTGTACATATACATAAGGCCTCTGAATATTTCAAAGCATGTCCAAATAAAATCTCCAGAATAAATGTACAAAATTTAACTGTAAAGAAGCTCTAACTAGTTAGTTACAGGTTGGTGGGCTATGACATATATTAAAACCAAAGAAGAAAGTTCAATTATCATGAAATGGCAAGCTAGTCATAAACCTCCAGAAGTTTATGCATTCTTTTTGTAAGAATACCAGGCTCTTTTTCTTTTGCCTACAAATGGTAGTTTATAAGTTGCCTATATCAGAATGACAGCCAAGATAATCAGAGGAGAATAGAAAACTTCTTGGCCTTTTTCTGAAGATGTCAGGTGGCATGTTTAAAGATGTATTAAGTTGGCCAATGCACTGAATTATAATACATTTTTGGACTAAAAATTAACTTCAATTTTTTTATTTTCCTCCTACTGTAGTGTTGTAACTGAGACATGATTAAATCCTAAGAGATAAATGGAGATTATAAAAAGTAATTACATGTCTCAGTGCTAACCATTTACTGTTTAACCATTTTGGAGAGTCTTAATATATTGTAAGGATAGTAATAGTGCCAAGATGGAAAAGACAGATAAAATTACTACTGAGTAATTCGAATATTTTTTTTGTTTATCAGGGTCTAGCATCTTAGAAACTCCTGTTCTCTTTCTGCCTTTACTGGGCAGCCCTGAATCCTGCAAAGATTCATTCCTTCCATGCACTAGATCCATGCAGCTATTAGCTTTTCGGTTCTTAAATCACCAGGAAAATCATCTACTTTACACTAATGAGGACTTTATTCTCTTTATTCAAGAGCAGTTGCCATGTTACAAGAAGGAGATCAGCAACCTGTAATAATTTCACAGACATACAAACTGGAGAAGCTGTCACAGCAGATCTCCCTCAGGTAGATGAGACTATTCTTATTTAGCACACCCATTTCTAAAGGTGTCCCCTCTTCTTCTTCTTCATTTTCTTATTCAGTGCACACTAAACATTGTTGATGGCTGAGTTCCGTAACTTAAGACTGCTTTACAGTTTCTTTATTTTCAATCATCTAAACCACGTCAATGAAATTTTAAAAAGGAGGAAAACACTTAAAATGCTTCATTCATATTAATGCATGTGCCCAGCTGCATTTGGAAAGACCAAGATTAATAAGCACTGAAAAACTGAAGTCAAATGGGAACAGAAAAGCTTAATACATCGTTACTATCAATTCTAAGTTAGAAAATGTCAGCGTAAATGAGCCAGAGTGGCACTGGCACAGCTGATAGTGAATTTTTACCAACGCAGAGGAGGTGCTGATCAGAGTATAGTCAGGAGAACAAGAGAACCTTCCCAGCAATTTAAAGAACAGAGATGCATGCTTTTTTTTTTTTTTTACTAGAAGGACCTATTGTGCTTACTGACTTAGACAAGCCCAAACTGCAACCAGCTCCATAAATAAAAAGGGATCCCCCTATTTTTCAAACCACAACACTCTTGCCATCTCCAAACCAGTATGATCTTTGCAACATGGCACATTTCCCAAACTGCATGGGAGAACTGAAAGCCATGTGAAATGCACATCGGACATAAACATCAAAAGAGAAACATTTTTAGAGGAGAAAACACACTTCATGAAATGAGGGAGACAGTGAACAGCACTGAATATCAGAATAAACCGATGCAGCTGTAATGATTCATGCAAAGTAAAACACCTTAGAGAATATGTATATAATCCAGTCATACATTCTTTCATGTCCAACACCTACATAAGCAGTGCATAGTAATAAACAAGACATTTCTGTAAAAAAAAAAAAAAAATTTCTCAGCTGAGAAGCTACCGCCTAAATTTCTGAAGGAGAATCATCTTCACATGGGTTCTGCAGAGAAAACTCATGAAAATTCAAGACTGGAAGATAAGTATAGATGACTATAAGACTGAAATGCTATAGAGGCAACACAATTCTACTAAGGCACGTCATGAATCATATATGAAGCAGATGCTAAACTGTGTTAGCATGAGTGCAGTAATTCAATATTTTACCATTAGATTAACAAGGATTACACCAATCAAACTGCCCAGTTCTGAGCATCAGCAGTTTTCAGTGTTTCCCTCTCCTCCCTACCTGCCTGGAAACATGGTGCTCCAATGCAGGGTTTTCACAAATAAGCGATTTTATCACATTTCCAAATACAGGCTCATTTAAGAAACTTCTGTAATTCTCATGTTCCATGAGACTGCCAATACAAAGGTCCAAGCAGTTTACATCATAATGAAACACCTTCAGCAGCAACACCACCACAAAAAGCTTGGGTGGAAGGAGGGTGAGGCTGTGGGTATTTTGTCTTTGCAATTACAGCACTCTCCCAGGACATACACACAGATTGAGAGCTCCAACGTCCCACATGGAGGAGTGGCACGTTTCCCTACTCTTCCTCCACATCTGAATACTGCAAAAGAGAGGCACAACTGCTTTTCACGGGTTTAAGCAGCAGGTTAGCTCCCCCAAAGCAATTTAGCCCAAATTACTTGGCTTATTAGAAAACAAAAATGTCAAATCCTAATTTAAATCCACGTTACTCCTTTAAGTTAAATTACTGTAAGATAAAAATTGCAAGAACTGTAATTACTCCAACCTCAAGAGAGAAGCCAATCATCAGGAATAATCAGGAAAGTGCTTGATGCTGACACAGGTTGACCAGACAGCCAAAATAAATAACATACAAGTTTTGATAGAGGTCATCGTACAAAATTAGAAAGCCACACACTACTGAAAGGTCAGTCTCTGCACTGGTAATGTCCATGGTCCCTAAAAAAATTTCTTTCTCTCTCTCCTCCAATAAGGACAACCAAAAACTTATTTAAACAAGGTGTCCTAACATGACACTGAAGGAATGACAAGCTACTGTAACTCATGACATGCAGTCCACATCTTCACAAGTCTGATTACTTAAACAACAAACAGTGGGTGAAATGATCTATGTTCACGCACTTACAGGACAGAATGTAAGCCCCCAGGTAGAGACATGATAAATGACCACTTTTCTCCTCCTCTTCTACATTAATATCTGTTATAAGTTCAGTTATCCAGAAAATTATGCTCAGAGAATTCTGTAATTCAGGGCTGTATTGCTGCATAAGTTTCTGCAGAGTAATTCCCACTTCTGTAGAACTGTTCTGCTGGATATCAGCTTCCCCTAACAAAAAATATGATCCTAGTATTTACAGGATACACGTCTTTAAAAAGCATGAACTGCATCTACACTGAGGCATGACCCGATAACCTAAACCAGCAGCCTGGGCTTCAAAAGAAATTTGTAACGTATCTTTCATCTCAGCTCCAGACTCTTGGGCTTCGTGAGTTCAGAAGTGAATTTCTTGGCACAACAACAACAACAAAACAATTCCAAGAATTGACTCTTTGCTACAAATTAAACAGCCACCTTTTGTTTCTTTGTTTAGTTTACCTTTTCTGCTGCCTCTTCGTCTGAAAATGTTACCATATTTAAAGAATGCACTGGATGGGAATCCTTAATATTAAGGAATGCACTGAACTGATCTGCATGGTTCTGAATGGGACAAAGCAGGAAATGAATGAAGAACAAAATCTGTAATCCAGTTGTCAAATGTGGGGAAATGGAGGTCTAGACTGACAAGGTAATTCACCTAAACAACAGTTCTGTAATGGAAACCTGGAAAGATTAGCTAACAATTCAGCTGCAAAATCCATTTTTCCGGATACTCAAGAGAAGATTCTGCAAAACGTTGCCAGGACAACACAATGGAAACTGAAGACTGGGAAACATACCATGCTGCTTGGAGACCAAATTAATAAACTCCTCCCCATACATGATTGTGGTAGAAAGTAGTTAATCGATATACATTACAGTGCATACACTTCACTATGATTCGTATTTTTTACACTGAATTCAGTGATACAGTTGTTTTGTTTGTACAGTTGTAATAAAAGATTTGTACAACTATTAGTCCTATGTGGAATTACATAATAATAGTATGTCTTAATAAAAATATTACCGTCATGCCATTTGCACGTTTTAGATTTAAGACACAGGCAAGGAACAAGAACAATTTTAAAAGTGACAGAGTATATTAATTGTGCAAGAGAACTTGTAAATTTTATCACAGTAGGTCGCAGAGTATCCAAGATCTTATTACAATGTGCACATACTATAACCTTCTTTTTCAGCAGCTATAATATAGTAAGCACTGTTGTGGGTTTTTTTGTCCTATGCCTGCTGCAGACACCCATTCCTTACTGGATAAGGTAGCTATTTCCATGACAACAAAAAGTATGGATAATCTTCTCATAGTCCTGCCTGCTGACACTCAGGACACAGCACATATTTCCAATTTACACCTGTTACACTTGCATGCTCTGTAACTTTGATTCCTGCGGTACATGATCAAAAAAGTTTTATAGAAACATGTCTCTTGACTGAGATTTTATACAGGTAGAATTTTATCACTGAATTTTCAGTTTCAGTTCTGTTTCAACTGATATTTTTATACATTCTCAAAGATAGTCTTAAAATGTTTTTATTTAAAAATATCAAGAGAAAAAAAACCTCTTTACCTCCTATACTTACAAAGAAGCAGAAATCTGACATCTTAACATTGTTTTTAAATGTCAAAAACAATGTGGTAGAGTTTCATTTTATTTCTTTTTACTACAAAATACTGAATAGCTAGCATGAAAGCAGTTGAGGATGTTTAACACGAGCTTTCAGAGCCCTCATGCTTCCACAGCTCATCACAAACTCATGGCTGTAACCCAAACTCACATTTCTTTGTCTATTGAGGCTTCTCCCAGGGATGTGACACAGTAGCTACAACCTAAACACTGTTTAGGCTATTTCAAATAGGTTTGGCAAGGTGCCCCATAATATACTTACATGGAATACTGAAACAGCTTTTTGTTTCCCTTCACCCATATTCATTTCCTTCTCCAAATAATGACTCAGTCGCTTCTCATTTCTAGAAAGCTGGTATTTTCCCTACTCTTCTCAGTCAATAAACAAGGGAATAGAAATTACCCCATCATACAAAAAACACTAGTTACTCAGATACTGCATTTCCCTTCTGCTCCGTCCTTTCCTTTAGCCTCAGTTGAAAGAGTCAGCAACTAAGACATAACAGCATAAGAAGGGCTACAGTACCCAGGTAAAATAAAGGTGCCAACATTTCTCGCAGTTTTGTAACGCTCTTGTTTTGGAAGAACGCAGACAAATATCAAATTGAGGAAGAAGTAACAATTTGCCAGATTATCAAACATCAAAAGCATTTTTGTATCTAGAAATAAGTCAAAGGCATAACGAAATCTCAGGCATAATGAAACAGCAATTTATAACTTCAGCTGCAATTCAATTACGAAAAAGGTAATTCATGAAATTCAATAGTTTTACTATTTTGAATTGAATTTTGTTAAAAAAAAAAACTCACCTATTTTAAAAAATTACTAGTTCTACATAAAATAGATAACTGTCTCAACCGCTTCCTGCTAGAAGTGATAAGGGTTTTTTATCCTGTGTTTTTAGTAGTCATTTTTTATTTTAAAGATATTTGGAAAATTGTTGTTTCTGAATTTTTGGGTCCTCTATCATGTCATCAGTCACAAATCTTGCATATTTCTAATACAAAGTGAAATAGTTATCTCCTCTGTAAAATATTTCACATTCAGTGCATACAGCTTTGACCTAGTGTACTGAAATACAGTAATACTGGATTTAAAGGGCTTTTCCAGCACAGAAATACACTTTCAACAATATCTTACCAAGTGACAGACACTGCTTATTTTTTCACAGTTAATGGAATATGTTTTGTATTCTGCTAAAAACGAGGTGACCTAGCAGCAGAAGGGAAAGCTGCTACAATTTAATTTAAGAGCATGTTGTGAATATAAAAATCAAGGAACATACAGTACTATGAGCAGGGTTTGTGGCCTTCTTTGAAAAGTCTCTCAGTCTTACTTCTACACACTATGAGTACAATTACATGCATATGTTTGTTTAAGGTCTCTCACTCATACCTCAGATACATCTACATGAACACAGTATCATTAAACCTTTGCACTAAACATACATCAAAAGTATGAGCAATTTTTTATATGTATATATGTGCACAGACAATGACAAATAAAAACACATGCAAATTATGTATAGTAATATTGCTTACTGCCAGTTCAGTAGGTAGTCAAAGACATTTTTTGATCTTTTAACCTTTTTAAGGAATAAGAATATTGCTCATTCTGCATCACTCAGGTCTGTTCTTGCCTATAGGTATTAGGATCACAGAGAAGTGAGCAAAATGCATGTCTCACTTTTGTGTTTATAATTAATTAGCAGATTAAATCAAGATTAAAAAAAAATTACACTACTATCTTGCAGGACTTTCTCAGTATTTATCTAATATTGGGGGGATTAATAAACGCAATTCATTTTAAATCTCCTCAACTGATTCCATTACCTAACATACAACAGAGAGGAGCTAAAGAGTTTCTCATTTTTTTTCCTAATCTTGTATATCTGCTATCTGACCCATAGTGGAGGAATCAAAATGTTTTTTCCCCCTAGAGAGAGAGACCAGAAAAAATCTGCATCTCAAAACAATGATGCACAGAAAATAGAAGAGGTATTCTTAGAAGGAAGAGAAGGAGGGAGAGGAGGAGGAAGCTTTTGTAATACACTTCCTTAGCTTGAATAGCAATAATGTGTGCATGAAGCAAAATCCGAATTTGATCTTGTAACAGTGAAATTTGAAAAAACACAGTTATGGGAAGATACACTTGATTGAGTCTTAATCCAGAATTCACCTGGCACTTTTGCAAAGTTACGCACAGATTGGTACTCTGCTTCACTGCAATCTAAGAATCTAATCCTCCTTGAAGCGAAATAAATGCGAGACATTACAAAATAATCAACTGAGCTTGGATGAGATCCACACAGACCAATATTAAAGACCAAAGAGTCTAATCTGTGCTGCATATTTTTTTAGGTACACAGATTATACATGCAAAAAACTTAAACCTGAAAGCTTCCCTAAACACCTAATTTTCTGTCACAAAGCAGTCACTCATGCAAACAATATAAAAATACACCTGGGAAAATACTGATGCAAACTTTTTTTTTCCCCCTCATTTTTAAACATCAGGATAACAAAATACTTTTTTTTTTTTTTATGTAGCTTTTGAAAATGCTGTGGTTTAAGTATATAATTCAGTCACTTTTCAGACCACTTCTAACAAACATTCTTCCTGCTTGATTTTTTATTTTTACACTTGGTCCTGCCTATTTAAATATTCACAGAAAGAGAAAACAGTTCTACCTGTAGACTCAGGAAACAAGTCTGAAAATATTGCTTCATTGTATTTCATAAGTGATATTTTAAAACACTCACCTGTTTGCCACCAGTGGTCCAAGACAGGTACTCTGAAGACCTTTTTTGACCATTCTAATGTGTCCACATCACAGCGCTCACCAGCTACAAATAACATTCTGAACCTTCAAATGAAAATCAAAGAAAGTGTATGTCTTGATATGGATGGGGAAAGGAAAACAAATTCAGTAAATCACAGAATCGTAGAAAACCAGGTTGGAAGGGACCTCAAGGTTCATCTGGTCCAACTTCTCTAGGCAACACATGACCTAGACTAGATGACCCAGACCCTGTCCAGCCAGATCTTAAAAGTGTCTAGTATTGGGGAATCCACCACTTCCCTGGGGAAATTATTCCAATGGCTGAGTGTTCTCTTTGTGAAAAATTTCCCCTTTGTGTCCAGCCAGAATCTTCCTAGGAGCAACTTGCACCCATTAAACCCTTGTCTTTTCCATGTGAAAAGAAATAATAAATATCTCTGGTCCCAGATAAAGAGAAAAGGGGAGGAAGGATTCTTACTCTTTGTATGCTCCTTCCTACTAAGTAACAATTAGAATCTCAGTAATATTAATTTATGCTACTTAATAAATCAGGTAAAAGAGCTTTATTTTCTGAATGCAAAGACCATGGGAGAACAGAGGCAATCTACTGAAAGTGGAAGTAAAAGTAATTAAATGCTTTGTACACAGAAACTAGGTAGATACCCTTTAGGCAAAAGATGTCAGAAACATATCAGAAAAACTATTAAAGAAATAAACAGAACTAAAAGGAAATACTTGTAACATAACTCTTAGGTTTAAGTTGTTAATAATGTTCCATTTAAGCAGATTTTAGTATTCTTTCAAGTGTTGAGTCATCGTTTTATAGGCATTTGGAAATTAGTTTTAGGGAAAATTAATAGGACATAAAGCCATTTTCCTGTGGAGAAGCAGGCTACATAGCCTACTGGATAATGCCAAACAGAACAACATTCAGCAGCCTGGGGTCCCTGATCACAGTTCTAGACTTCAACTCATTTGACTGGATATCCTACAGCCAACTTTGGCAGAGAAGAGATGCAATGCCTGGCAGTTCTGACAGATGTGATCTGCATGTTTGTAACATTAAATTAGATAGTACTATATAACTGAGCATTAAACCCACACACAGCCTTTAACTTTAGAATCTTTTATCTGATGCTTCGTCGTCATTTATTGTCCTTCACTAAGTCCTGTTTAAAATGATCAAGTCCTCTATGTCATTCTTAAATATGACTATCAGTACTCAGAAGCAAGACATTACCATGTGTTACTGCACGCTAGTAAGGTTCTGGTCTTTCTAACAATTGCACCATAACTTTATTCATATCATAGAAGGTTTTTGGCACTTATTCCCTAACAAGCAATCTAAAACCCTGTTAAATTGCATGTGGTGCAGCCTCACCTTGAGTACTGTGTGCAGTTCTGGACAACACAATTTAAGAAGGATGTTAAGGTACTCAAATGCTTCCAGGGGAGAAAAACAAAGCTGGTGAGAGGGCTGTAAGGAATGTGCTATGAGGAGCAGCTAAAGACTTCGGGCTTGTCTAGTTTGGAGAAAAGGAGGCTGAGGGGTGAACGTCACTGCTCTCTCCAGCTTCTTGAAGAGGGAAAGTGGAGAGAGAGATGCTGAGCTCTTCTCCCTGGGATCCAGTGATAGGACATGTGGAAATGGTTCAAAGCTGTGCCAGGGAGGTTTAGACTGGACATTGGGAAGTATTACTCTACTGAGAAGGTGGTCAAATACTGGGACAGGCATCCTAGAAGGGTAGTTGATGCCCCAAAGCCTGTCGGTTTAAGAGGCATTTGGAAAATGCTCTTAACAACATGATTTGAATTTTGGTCATCCCGGAATTGCTTGGGCAGCTGCACTAGATAACTGTATAGGTCCCTTCCAACTGAAATATTCTATTCTACCCCAACTGTCTCAGATACTCATGACACTGGCCAGGCACCGCCACCTAATAAAAGATATTAAAAAGAAGAATCGTTTGTGATCTTGCCACCACACCTCCAACAAAGAAATCCTCTTTAGGTAGAAACACCCAACTTCTAATTCAGGTTCATGATATACCGATGAGAATGAACAGCCAACTATACTCAAATGAACTGCTGATTTATATTCAATGCATAGTAATTTGTACATGTCTGGTTTTATAGTGTGTGTTGTAACAGCATGTAATAGCATGATTTCTATTGATAGCAGTGCATGGTATTTACTCTACTTGGTTCTTATTATTAAAAAAAAAAAAAAAAAAAAAAAAAAGGTTTGTCTATGCTGAACTAGTTCTCTAGACTTCTTCTATAGCCCAAAAAGAACAAAGGGCAACTTTAGAGAGTAATTTACCTTCAGGAGACTCAAAAGAGTAGTTTATTTTCTGTGTAACAAAAACAAAATGACAACCAAATGAAATGAAACCCAGAGCAACACTAACACATAACCAAGCCACAGCAGAGACACTTTGTTAAGCTACTGTTTAAAAAAATAGCAATAGTCACAGCTATTAAGTCATTGCATTATAATTTTGAAGGGATGTTCTTGCACCTCAGAAAAAGAAAATCAGGAATGTCTGAAAGTTTTGGACATTCTTATTTTGCTGCACACTTGTTCCTGCTTAAGCAAGATTTTGAAACAGAAATCACCTATTTAGGAAATAAAATCAAAACCAGAGGGAAATTTAAGACATAACATTTCTGGTTTCATTCCACAGGTAAATCACAATGAAAAACTGCTTCTCCTTCCCCAAAAGGCTGGTGTGGCAATCTGAAACACTTCAGCCATGTCAATGTATGTTTGTAACCACCAGGTGCAATCCTGCCATGAGGTGCGATGTGAATTCTGAATTCAGAGCTGCCATGCACATACTGTATCGCTACAGACCAAAGAACTCACTTTCCTTCTGTAGTATCTACACAGGATGGGCTCCTGCCTTTCCTCTCCCAAGTCCTCCCTACTTGGCATATTACCAACAAAGACAGAACTCTCATTTCATCCAGAGATGCAATTTAAAACCTCAGAAAACTGAGGTAAGAGAAGAAAGGTAAAAAGCAAACACAGAGTCAGACTCCACATCAGAACTCTGTTTACTTACAAATAACCTCTTTCTTGGAGTGAAAGTGTTCATCAATACTCACACTACCAGTCAGTAAATATTTCCTGAAGAGCCTGTCATGACAAGAGAAACTGCAGACACTCTAACAAGTACTCTGTCAATCCCCAAGGCTTCTGAGATGACAAATGCCTAATTAAAATATGAACAGAGCTTCATGTGGCCCAACATCAGAACCTGGGATTAAAATACTTGTCAAATATGTCCACTTGTTAGGATTGCAGCATGCCCCACCACAGCCAAGATCAATGTCAGTGACACTTTTTCAAGTCTTCACAGAGTCCATTATGAATGACAACAACTGCTGAACAAAGGACCTGACTCTTGTCAAGTAGCAATGGACACAAACATCATTGACTTTGTAAAACCTGTAGACTTGTGGCCACTAAAAGAGAGAATTCTTAGATAGGATGGGCATGAAGCAAATTTCACTTCAGAGGCATGTGCAATTTAGAAAAAAACCCTACAAGATTCATCTATGTAGATGAAATCCTGAAAGCAATTCAGTAAATTATGAGAAAAATCAGAGCAAGTATCTCACAGGTGTCAGAAATGAGAAAGAGGAATGTAGGTATCAGCCTGTCTGACCATAGGACTAGGAATACTTCTAAGAGGGATCAAAAAGCTTGACCTCCCATTTAGAGACCCCAGCTATCCCACAACAAGGCTGCCCAAATGAAAAAGTATACTTTGAATATTCACACTCTATTCCTCTTCAGATGATAAGCATATCCCATGCAAGGCAGCCTTGCACAGTGTAAGAACTAGCAACCTACTCACGGTAGATGCAAGGCAGGAGAATGAAGAGAGTAAAACTACAACTGGAGACAAGGTAAGTAAAACATGGGATCAAACATCATAAAGTGCATGTCGTGGTTCAAGCCCAGCCGGCAACTTGGAACCACGCAGCCGCTCGCTCACTCCCCCCCTTTTCCTTCCTCCCCCCGCTCCCGGAGGGATGGGGAGGAGAATTGGAGGAATGTAACTCCCACGAGTTGAGATAACAGCTCTCCAGTAACTAAGGTATAATACAAACCACTACTGCTACCAATAATAATGATAAGAGGAATAACAAGGGAAAAGGACACAACCGCTCACCACCCGCCGACCGATACCCAGCCCGACCCGAGCAGCGATCTGGGCCTTCCGGGTAACTCCCCCCAGTTTATATACTGGGCATGACGTGCTGTGGTATGGAATACCCCTTTGGCCAGTTTGGGTCAGGTGTCCTGTCTCTGCTTCCTCCTGGCTTCCCCTCCTCTCTGGCAAAGCATGAGACTGAGAAAGTCCTTGGTCAGAGTAAACATTACTTAGCAACAACTAAAAACATCGGTGTTATCAGCATTGTTCCCAGACTGAAAGTCAAAAACACAGCACTGCACCAGCTACTAAGAAGGAGAAAAAATGACTGCTGTAGCTGAACCCAGGACAGTGCAATAAGCCATATCCCCTAAAACTGAGTTTTTTTCAGTGATGCTTGGCCTAGACTTAAAAGAAATGTAATAAGTTGATTGTCTTTTAGATCCATTTACAGATCCATACTTAGAATACAGGAAAAGAAACTTCTACAAACGAAAGATATTGGGAACTCTAATCACCAGCGTAGGGACCACTGCACCAGATAAATACAACAACCTGAGAATGGTCTTTTCTGTGAACTAAGTAGAAGTAACAATCATAGAGGTAGCCATAAAAGTTACTTTGATGCATGAAAATCAACCTTACTACACATCTAGTTACACACTTATGAAAGTCAGAAGACCTCAAAAAATGTTATCATGTAGAACTTTAACATGCAGATGAGAGAATTCAACTTCTTTAACTGCAGAACAGTGTTTTGCCAACCCTTTTTTCTGACATCCCAGATGGCTTAAAGTGGCTTCTTTCTCGAAATAGAGGGCAGGAGGTCAAATGCATAAGCAGATTTCACATCAAATAAACATAGTTTTCTGTACTCATAAACATACTACATTATTTCAGTAAACTGCTTTCTGAGCACATCTTCAACATTAGAGGATAATGATTATAATGAGTGTGACCCCAATCAGTATCTTGCACCCGAATGCTTCTTATTGTAAAGCACAAGCCATTGCTGATAATTACAGCTAATAGCTAACTGGAAGTCATAAAACACATAAAAATTTATGATAGAAGAGAACAATATATTGTGTAAGAAAACTCAGAAATATGTATTTTGTTAGAAGCTTTTTAAGGCTCATGTCACGTGTAGGGCAGTCCTGTTAAGGACTGCTCAATTTACATTATATGGAGTGTTCTGTACTTAGGCATGTTAAATACAACATTTCAGCTATGATGTAAAATATCAAATTATGAATTCATTAACTTTATAAACTGCTGAAAAAAAAAAAAAAAACCTGGTAAGTGCCCTTGTTCTAAAAATTAGGCAAGAACTTAAAGACTTGACAAAAAAGTTAAGACATCATGTTACCCCCGAGCCAAAAGCAGAATTCCTCTCTTCTGAATTGCCAGCTTTAATAATCAGGTTTAATAATCTGCAGGTTTAAGAGTAACATAATATTGTAAGAAAGAGAGGGATTAGCTCTTTGGCAAATTTACAGCACAACACCATAAAAAAGAATATCAAAGTGCCACAAGCCTAACAAAGCATAAAAACTGTGGAACTCTTTTCTTCTATCAAACAGTATAACAAAAGAGAGATGGCAGTGCTTATAAAATGTCCCACTGAAAAAAAATTCTGACAGTCCACTTAAAACTTCAAAGCATGTCAATGCACACGTTACTGCAATCATCTATCCCTGCAATGCAGTTAATGGAGAAGAAACATCTTAAAGCTTCTCGGATAAATATGTCCTAAGCTGTTGTTCTGAAAACCTACATTATTAGCACAAAATTCAGTGCAATCAAGCTTTTAGGCCCTATTCAAGAATCCAGGAAGTAGACTTGAAGTATCACCTGATACAGGGGGCAGATCAAGGTCCCTAATGGCCCTGATGGAATCTAAATTGCATCAGTACAGCATATACATTTTGGTGTCACTCCAAGCACAAAAGAAACATCTCCAAACCACTGCCCAAAAGCAGGAGCATTCACATGGATAATAATCTGAGCTATACAGCTCAAGACTCCAACAGGAATAGCCATACATGATCTACACAGAGGTGGGGGTAGCAGGCAGAACTGCACAATGTACTTCAGTTGTCCTAAATTCTGGGTCTTAGTCATACCTCTGCTAGCAGCATACGGGAGATCAATTATATGAGAAGTATTTAATAGCAAAAGTTTTTGAATTTACTACTTTAATTTCACATAATCATATTCCTGTGTTATGAGACAGAAAATGGGAGTTTCTAATCTACTTGCTGTTCATTCTTTCTGCACAGTTTTCATATTTTTTAGTAAAGCAAGTGCATTAATACCTGGTATAAGCTGAACAAGCTAAAATCTCTAGATCCTCTTGACATAAAATGACAAAACATTCACAACTGACTTAAAGTCAAGAAAGCCAAGTAGGCCATGGGACACAAACTGCAAATTATCACTAATCTGTTGAGCTGTTGCCCCATTTCATGCAAAACTGTCAGTTGACAATCATTTGGAAATCAGGCTTAAGCAGCACATAACAATTATGTCAATTAAAAGATGAAGTGCGATTCCAGATAGTGTTAGGGAGTTAAACTTCTAAAGATACAAAGAGATTCTAGAAGCTGAAAAGAATATGCTCAGGTACATGAGGGTCATAGTATTTGGATATTTTTCAAACGCAACAGGCAGCAACATGATCAGACATGCTCAGCAACACTGTGTCTTATCAAAAGCTGGGTCTTTAGATCCTCTAGCAATATACGGTTGAACAGGGCTTTTATCTTACAATGTTATAAATTGAATATCTCTTTTACTGTTAAGTATGAGCCATGTTTAAGACATAGATGACACTTTGCGTCAAAGTCAAATTTCAAGATTTTACTCCAATAGCCAACACAGAGTTTGAAGCATACACACTAAAACCTTTTGGAAACCTCACATACAATATTGGAGGCTAGTGATGCCTCCAACATCAGTTCTTAACAGAAATTTATTTAATTTATGCCATTTCAAAAGAACAAAAATCTGCTTATAATTCAATTTACTCCTGTATATCAAGTATTCCCTTGCATACTGGAAGCTGTCATTGCCTACCAACTCTGTACCTTAACAGCAATATTCTTTTTTAACAGGACTTTTAAAAAGTGACATTGACCTTTATCAGTTTTTAGATACAATTTTTCAGGAACGAAATACTCCATGGTGGAAACGTCTTCTGTGACAGCATTCCTGAACATGTGTTTTGGAATCTCTATAGAGTAAGTAAGGATACTTCTTAGCCCAGGCAGCAGAAACACATCTCATATCAAAGATTCTACACCATATAACAGAGAAGAAAGCAGCATAGATAAAGTAAATTAGTTAAAAGTAAGACTGATTGCAAACTGAAACAGACAGAATTCACTTGAGTCTGGGTGTGAAAGTCCAGCTAAGTAACACCCAAAAGCAAGGATTTTCCTAAAATGGAAATTTTAATCACCTGTTGAATTCCAGTTCTTAACAGCTACACCTACTAGATATTAAATGCTGCACTAGAGGGTATAGTAAAGAGAAGTCACATACCGGGGAATGACATGGCCCAAAGCTGAGTGAATTATGATACAACTAAATCTGAAGAAAATTGAAAAGTTCATTAATTATGCACTGAATAGGAACAGGAATACCTCTTTACATCTGGGGCAACTCATATCAGCAAGGAGACTCTTACCTGGAATTCTCACGTGGCCAGAAAATATGATAACTTACAGAATAGGTTAGCAGGTTTTTCATTAAATGAATAGTCTAAGAACAGATTAAGATATTTTAGACATTGACAATAAAATGCAGTAATTAAATTTTCTAGTATCCGAATCACTTCCTTGTCAATAAACATCATAGAATAATATGGTCTCAACTGAGTCTGTCAATTAGGAGAGTCTGTCAATTCCCCTCAGTTAGGGTCTCAAATTAGTTTGTTTCCTATTTCAAGGAAGAGTAAGGATTGGTAACACTCAAAACAGATGGAAGAAAGTAATGATGAACTTCTAATGAATACCTCAGGAATAAATCCAGCTTACTAATAAATAAAATTTTCCAGAGCACTTAAGAATGTGGAGGTCAAATGAAGCTACACAGCTTTGCATTTTCCCCTTTTCTTTGGACAAGTGTGATAAAAGATGTTCTTATGACTGAATGCTGCCTATACAGTCGGACACAGTCCCCCTTTGATGCTGAACAAATTATTCAGCTGCAAGATTAGATGAGGTCCAAAACTATGTTTCATTTTTAGATTATTTTCTGTGTAAGATACAGAAACTTGGTCTGTAGAAGCACTAAACATTCACAGATGCAAGTCAGTGTGACAGACACTTTATTAATATAATGCTAATAATGCATTTCAACCATATAATGCTAAGAACTCTGAAACAGTGGTAGTTTAGTGGCTCAGACTGGATATTCAAAACTAATAGAAGACTTTGACCTTAATCTCCCCGTGCCTCAGCTTCCCATCTGCAAAATACAGATAATAGCACTCTCTCATCTCACAGGGGATTTGTAAGGATGAACTCAGTCAAAGAATGCTGATAGTATAGTGATAAACACCTTAAAAACAGTACAAGATAGCATAACCATAAACAGTAACTTAATTATGGGGAGATAAACAAAACACTGACTAGCTGCTGATAAATAAACACTAAATATCCTGTGCACTCACTGAAGTGAGAGGTCATGTGGGAAAACAGTACAGGATTATGTAATCCAAGACTGTATTGCAGGGTATAAGCAGAGTGGAGTAAAACTAAGGCTGAGAGAGCAATCCTAACTGAGTAAGAGCTCTTAACCTTAGAGTCATAAACTTTTAAACAGCTTTCATCTCTCCAAACTATCAATATAAATTTTCAAGCAAATACATGTACACCTTAACTATAAGGAATACATTTAAATTCTGCTATAAGGAGGTGGGCAAAACCCCAGACAATGCTATTCTTAGTTCATCCCGCCTGTTTCTGGAAGAAACTACTTCCAGTGTATCCTTAGTTCACCTTTTCAAAGAGTACTGCTTTCCCAAGGCTGCCTCAGGGTCCTGCTGACGGATTGCTCTAATTGCAGTTGGTGAAGTAAAGGCGGCAGCTACTTCATGCTCTGCTAGCACACGGAAATAGGCACCAGCATCTGGCGTTCCCACAGGCTTCCCCTATGGAGAGAATAATTTAAAATGTCACAGGATAAAAACACTTCATGATTCCTTGACAGTTCAAAGCTTGAACACATAACAGTAGTGGTAGCACTGCAACAGAAGTAATTCCTAGTAAAACTTTAAAGAAGGCTTTGTTAAAAATAGTAATTCTGTGACCATATTCACTTGTAGAAAGAAGTTCACAAGCTTTGGCCACAATCTCTTCCATGAACACAGCACATACTAGCTGCTATTTAGAAAAACAGGACAAATGGACACGTGAATGAAAAGACAGCCACAAAGAGCTGTTACTACACTGGCAGCAGAGGGAGTCATGTCTACATCTACCCTTATTGTGAAGCAGCCTGTAAAACACCCAGAGACCCACTGAACTAGGGGGCTCTGGACACAGTGGCACTGCAGCTACATCCTCATGCACAGGCCTAAGGGTCTTCTTCTTCCCTGGAAGTTTCCTCCCAATTCTAGAAAAATTCCCATTTAGCTGCTTTTAACTGGCTTCTGGGAACCTTTGTGCTGCTACCCCAAATAAAGCCTGGAGAGAAGCCAAAGACCCCTTTCCTCATTTAGTGTGCTACCAGACTGCGGTCTGGTTTGTGGTTGGGATATTTATTTTTTTTTTTTAACTACTGGGTTTTTTTGTCTTGAGCTAAGGGGCAGAGTCAAGAGAACTGTAAACAGAAGTAATCAGATAATACAAATTGTCCAGTGGTAAGTAAAAATAATAAAATAATAAAAAATACTTTTCCATGGTGCTGTAAATATGAAAAGCAGTTGGCAAAGATCATATAATCATAGTCTTACTGTATGTTATTACTGTAACACATGAAACTACTCCATATGTGTTCTGAAACTATGAAAAGATGATGTAAAAAGAAATGTGGAATGAGTTTTAGCTTTACAGGTACCGCCATAACCTTTTCAACTAGAAAGGCCACACTTGGAGGATGAACTTTGACAGAGCACATAAGTTAGGAGAGACATGCACTTTCCATACTGCAAAGGCAACTTTGTCCATGCTTTATTCAAGAAGCCACAAACACAGAGAAAGTTTCACTATTGAAATCTCATCATCTTTCAGCAGCTTACCAGTCACAAGACAAATTCTTACCTTCACCACCCTTGTGTAATTGCAAATTTGGAATAGAAAGATTAATAGGTCCAGTGGGAAAGAAACAGCATATGAAACTAACACTTTTCATTTTACCAAGACACAAAAGGAATAGAGAGTCATTTGAATATCTTGAATAATTTACTAAATTCAGTATTCTTATTCTGATAGATAATGAGGTAACATCAAGTAACATGAAAATGCCTTTATGAAAATATACACTAATCAAGTTAGTTGACTCATACCAACAGCAAAAGCAGCACACTGGCTGTGATGCAGGCTCACGGGAATTCACCCCCTTCCCTCTCTTCCATCTGCCCTCCCCACTGCAATCTTCCCCAGACTTGCTCTGCATCCAGCTGTGCCTGAACACTGGCAAAAACACTGATAAACCATTTGGCAGCTTTAAAGAATGCAGCATGCCTGAGGTCGGGTACATACCATTGACTTTGCAGCCCTATGGTGAAATACTGCTGGTGAGAGGAGGCTAGATCACAGTAAAATAAAAAAATGAGGGGGAAACAAAAAAAAACCCAAGAAAACCGAAAATTGATTTTTTTAAAGGATGGAGCAGGCAGTGATAAGCAAATTAAGAAAAAATAAACAAAAGAAACAGTTCCCAACTCAAGTAGCAGGGAGGGGTATCACCAATGCAAAAAAAACAAAAAAAAATAAAACACCAACCCTTTTTGCTAATAGTCTATACAAATTATGAAAAAGAAATGCAAAAGAATGCTATTTGCTCACTGGAAAAGGTGAATTATGTCTTTTTTTTCTGTCAAATAATACACAGTTCCAAAACAAAGATCTTTCACAAGGCTTTAAGCATCATCCTTGCAGGCTTCTTCACCACAACTTTCATGTGTTCATCAATATTTGTACATGAATCTATTTATTCAAGTTGGATGTCACCTCCCTACGATGTTCACTATACCTGAAGATCTGTAAACATCTGGTTAGAAGTTCAAGCCCACATCACTAATACTAAATAAAATACATGGTCTCAGAATGAAAAATTTCAAATTTCCATAAACTTCTCACATTAACTAATTATGTAATTGAACTGGTATCAATCAACTTGCACAGCAAATAAACCTAGCTGTGGAGCAATCGTAAATTGGCTAGTCCGCCAGTAATAATGCAGGGTGTTATTTTTAACCAAATGGAAACGTCCAGAGCCCATAAAGGGGCTATGTCCGGCCCTCATCACAACCATTCCCTTCTAGGGCGGGGCTTGGCTGCCAGTGTTCAAGGCCAGGTTTGCTAGGGTGCAGCTGTGTAACCTTGGATCAGACCACCAGGAAAACAGCAGTTGTAAGAAGAGCTTCCTCTTCCTTGAGAGGCAACTTCTGCTGAGGCCCTCACCCTTGATTCCTGCTCAAACCACACTGCACCTGAGCCCATGCCTCACACTTCCAGGAAGTCCAAGCTCAAGCCCAAGCCCATCTTCAACACAAACAACTAAGCCTTCAGTAGTACATGGGTAGGCATTCAGGGATCTGACTGGCTGTTATTTATATGTCACACAAGCTACAGAAACTTCGGTTTGGAGAAGTACCATCCTCAGATCTAGGAGAAAAACAAAATAAACAGTGGAAGGAAAGGAAGAGACATTTCATCTGACGGATGATAGGAAATAATACCCAAAGATTAAGACAACTCTTAAAATATTCATGGGGGGGGGG